TGGGCTGAGTACTACCAGGTTGCCTAGGCCAAGGCAGGTGAATTTTCTTGAGGAATCCACAACCGGAGCCTTCGGCTAGCCAAAGCCTGACCCGCAAGGCAGCGGGGCGGTGTGCGAAAACCGTAATCCATTGTGAGCCGGTGTCCAGTTCATCGGATCATACGCCCTTCGGACGGGGTCAGACGTCCAAGGTGCCCAATACACCTCAATGCCCAATCGAGCCGGTGACCACCGCCACAACCGAAAATGTGTGGGTGTGGTTCGTACACCTCCTCATGGTTGGTTTGGAATCAGGGTTTTTGGCCAACTCCCCTAGGTGAACTGCCAGTGGTCCACCAACCTGGCTATAGCCCCGGATATCGGCTTTTCGTCCTCTCACTTTGGTGGAAGGCAGTGAGTAGGGCTTCCTCAGCAGAGGCTATTTGTGACGCTTGGTCGTATGGGGGCATTTCGTGAGGTGCAAGGGCAGGGTGACCAGCCGCAACCCTAGACACCCACCCCCGACCATACTGAGGCTTTTGGCATACATAATACAGAAATCCCATCAAAAACGTACCATCATAGCTCCTGGCTGCACAACGGGTAATGAATGTAGCAATCGATAATTATTCATTGAGACTCAGCAATTTGCCCTCGGTGATGGTCGAGATAAATCACTATGTTAACTGTTACTCACAAATGTGAGTTGTACCTCACAACAGTAGTAGGTATCCTTGGCTCATATCTCAGATTTAATATGCTGTAACTGGTTTTCTTTCTGTAGCAAATCGGTGGCGGTATTCATTTCTTTGGCATCTGGTATCACATTCAGTACTCAACCATGCCTATAGAGGATCACGATACAGTGTAAATCCCGTTGAGAATCATTTTATTTTGATGCGGGAATTCAAATGCGGCTTCTCCAAGACAGTTGGTAGTTAGTAAACTGGCGGGGAATGGACATTTCTGGAATGCTTAAATGTCTCAACAGGGTGGCTGGGTCATGTAAGTTTTGTAAAATTCCTCGATTCTGCTCTGAGGACTTGTCACATATCTAAGAATGGGAGGTTTCATTGGCAGATTAGAAAGTGGGGTTTGAAATTGGTTCATGAAATGTGGAACCGCATATTTCGCGAGAGCCTCCATCGACAAAATGATTTTTCTTCGCAATCTGTTACTGGAGCTTTTGATTAAAAGTCTCTTTCTCAGTCAACAAGGATTATTTGAGCATGCACCTTACCTTGATTTACAGCCCATTCCATCATGGGAAACACTGAGTGATATGGCTTAGTGTTGGCAACCGTGAATCTACCCACTTTCTGCACATATCTAGTTAATTTGAGAAGAACGACGGGAATTTAATATCTCATGACATTTGTCTTCTTTTTGTGTTGGTGAGGTGGATGAAGGTGACTCAATGTTTCATTTTTTAACCCTGGTCATCCAAATGTGTAATTCAAAAAATAGACCCAAACCAGCATGCATAAGTGCAAGGTTGTGCAAAAGGTTTCTCCCATTGAAATTCTTTGCACGGTTGGTATTTATCAATCAGCGGTTACCTGAAGCCCCATCTCAACATGTAAATCCCTATAAGTAACTTGGTGGCGTCATTTTATCCTGGATTTGAGCCATTAGGGAACTTGGCTGTTTTCCCGATGTGGTGTATGTGTATGCGGACGTTTGCAGCCAGTGGATTCAAAAATATGATTGTGCTGGCCTCTCCATTCCAATTATTTCTCTACATGGAACGTTTTTGCAACATCTGTCACTTCACCAATACTATTCTCATTGAATCACAGAATCGGCTGATCCCACCTAAAGAGTCGAAACAGTCACAAAGTTCTCACTCGAAAAAGGTAATTGATTCACGCTATGACGCTATGAATACCATTAATAATAATGCTATTATTAACCAGCATAATCTCTCAAAACTCACATTCTCCGGTGCTCTCTTCCATTTTGTCGCGGTGACTTTCCTTAATTTATCATAGTTTATTGCCGTTTCATTCGCGCAATCTTTCTGCGTACCGTGTTGCCCCATTTTGGTGCACACACACGGCTATTGGTTGATCTGAGAGCCGTGCATTGTGGCAAGAGAAAAACAAATTGATTCTGTCCCGTTAACCCTGTCTAATTCGCACGACACTTGCAATTTAACTTTAATTTTTTTTCATAGTTTGGGATGATTCATGTCTCTATCTTTATTGACATGCATGTTGATGGAATCTGTGGTTAACTGGGGTGGGATGGAGTGGAAATATCCACATTTTTGCCTTCATCTATTGTCCATTGTTTTTTTCGATCTACTCTTGAGTAGCATGTTCCTACGTATCTTTTAATACTTGTCTATTTTTTTCTCTTTTCTGCCCACATCGGATATAACAGCAACAGCCCGGGATGCGTGGCTTTCAAGCCGGTCACGTGGGACCAAATTATCCTCGTTATCACTGAATTCCGGTCATGCATGATTCGCGAATGTGTAAATATACTTGGAATTTTAATATACATATCTTTCTTTCCAAATGCAAATCTATTTTTTCCACATGATGATTGATTTGTCTAATGATATATTTCTGTTTGACATGTCATTGCTCCTCATGACGCTTGAGTGTGCACGGGTTTTTCTACCATACGCTCATACTCACATGTCTGCTGCTGCACTCATGCGGCAACGTCTGTCATAATTGAATCAGTGATTTGCACGATTTTGTGTTTGTGTGAAACAGAGAGCGAAAGAGAGAGAAAAAGATCAGTCTGTTTCCCTATAATGACGATTTATTGGGCCATCCGACATGGATCACACGGACAAATGCGAAATTAAGAAGCCAGTGGGAGTCGCCCCCCAACCGTTTGACCGCATTAATTCTGACAGCAACCTGGATTGAAGACAACAGTTGAAACTTGGCCAGCAACCAAGCAGCTGATACGGATCAATTGTTTATTATCCGTTTAACGAAACTTTACGTCACCATTGAAAGATATTCGACAAAAGCTTGTTCAATTTTACCTCGAGCATAAATGCATTATTTATCCTACTATGATTTTTAACACATGATGTCCAATTTTCACCGATATAGGGCAAATTAATAGCATTGTAGCAGTCGAGGTTTCTGTTTCACAGTAGAATCGATTTGAAACTCACTATCAGCGAAGAATCGCACCTTAGGTTGTATACACTTGCTGCGTTTGTGAACATGAGTGACTGGAGCTTCGTTATATGTGAGCAGTTTGTTGATTGTGGTGTTACGAATAACGTGACATGACTAAGCTAAATTAGTAACATTGTTTTCTTCGTTTAGGTGTTACGTAATTAAATGTCTGAATGTCTTTATTCATTCGATCATACAGCAGTCGCCAGTATATCGTTATTCGTGTTCCTGATCCAGACCAGAGTATATTACTGTGGTGTTGATAACGGGGATCTACTTACAATCTTCTGGTTGATCTTCGTGGCCGACCAGAGCATCTTCTTGGTATCAGGCATGCTTCCCCCGCTGGTGGTTGGGATGTTAAAGGTGTCCAGAAGAATATCCAGGGGAATTGCCTTTCGTTCAACCTCGCAAGATTAGCGATATCTAAAACGCAATTGGTTCTTGTGACGTAGCCATGTGTCCTGCCCTATTTCCACTTCATAAAGTACTCTGCCAATTCATCGTTTGATGGTCACTTCTACCCATGGGTCGCGATCTGGACGGTAATCCCTGGCATATACAGCAGACTTCGGCGCCAGCTTGCTTACTTCCATTGTATCTCCTTCTGATTTAACTGGTGTCTTTGGGTAACATAATGTCGTGGACTGTCTGTAATTTATGGCTCTTTAGCGCTTCCGCAGGGGTCGTACCATTCGGAGTTGAGCGACATGCTAAGGGGAACCGTTGCAGAATTTCATCTTTAATCCCCTCCCCTCGAAGCTTCAATAGGGCTCTTGAAAGTATCCACGAATCGTTCTACTTGACCGTTGGATTGTGGGTGATACGGTGGAGTCCGAATGTGCTGGATGTGCCGCCGTTGGCAGAAATCCCGGAAAACAGCCGAATTGAATTGGGTGTCATTATCCGAAACCATCGCTCTCGGTAGGCCATGTTGGGCGAGAACGCGATAGTGTCAGCAATGGGGGAAGAAATGGCGTAGATCTCAGGCATCTACTGTGATGAGGGATTAAATATCGTTTACTGGCCCCGCATAGTTAATGTGTAGTCGCTCCCGTCTACCTGTAGGTACTGGCCACGCAATTGGTTGCTCCTTTGGTTGAAATTCGGCCTCCCGTTTGCACTGAGAACATTTCCGAACAATGGTTTCTATGTCTCTATCCATGAAGGGCCAGTACACATAGCTTCGTGCGATTGCCTTCATCCTGCTCATGCCTGGTTGAGTCGCGTGAACTTGACGGAGTGCTCGTGAACGTAATGACGATGGAATGGCAACACGATTAGCGAACATGAGGCATGAATCAACCACAGATAGGGATGCACGTGGCATATGCAACTGTTTCAGCTCATCGAGAGGCACCGTAGGCGGCCATCCATATATAGTCCATGACTTAGCGGATTGAACATTGGGATCATTTGCCAAGGCATGTTTGATGTCCTCTTTAGTAACGGGAGTTCCCCTGATAGGGTCGTTCAGTGCCCGGCGTGCTTTAGCGTCGGAAGTGATTGCTGCAATCACCATGTTTTCTGGGGTGAACGTCTGGTATTGTTGAAGGCGTGATAATACATCCACTTGACTAAAGTCCTGCGTGCGGCGGAATTCAATGTGGAAATCGTACGCAAATAAAGCAAGAGACCAGCGTTGTAGTCAATTAGCCGTATGCATTGGGATACCTTTCTTGGAGCCGAGGGTTGACTGGAGTGCTTTGTGTTTTGTGAGTAAACGAGCGGCTGTAAATATACTTGTGATTTCTAGGGCCTCCTTTTATGTCTGACTATAGTTCTTCTCAGTTGATGATAAGGTACGAGAGACATGAGCGATAGGTCGTTCCGTCCCATTGGGCCACACAGCAAATAACAGTGCCATCAAGGGAAGCGTCTGCAGTGATCACAAGCGGCAGCTTGGGGTCATAATATCATAGCAGAAGATCGGAGCTCAGCATGTTTTTGAGCTTGGTAAAGGCGAGTTGACATTCCTTTGTCCATTTCCAAGGCACATTCTTCTTAAGTAGGTCACTCAGTGGAGCACGAACATTGCGTACGATCGGAAGAAACGCGCTTAATAAACACCGTTGTGTATGGACCTCTCGTGGTGGCTGCATAGCTGTAATGACCTGGACGGTGTCCTTGGGAGTCAAAGATAAAACCAAGGTACTCGATGAACGTCATCAGGAATTGGCACTTATCTTTCCGAGACAAAGTCCGTATTCTTGGATGCGAGTAAACTGCTCTGCTTGTGTAACTCCAACAAGTTTGATGTCATCCAAATTAGCCGCCGTACCCTCGAGGCCAGTAGTCATGGTGTCCGTAACTTATTGAAAGATGCCGGGAGCTATTTTCACACCAAATGGGAGGCGCGTATACTGGAATAAACCTCGATGGGTGTTAATAGTGAGCAGTTATTGGGACGCCGGTTCCACAGAATTCTGGAAATAAGCCTTCCGCTAAGTCCAGTCTAGAAAAATATTTCCCTCCGTTCAACATTGTGAAGATATCCTCCAGGAGTGGCAATGGATGGCAGTTGGGTTGTAGTGCGTTGTTTAGTCCCGTTGAAAAGTTGGCACAGATGCGGATGCTACCATTCGCCGTTCTTATGACAACGATAGGCGCTGCCCACTTAGAGTACGTGACAGAAACAATGATCCCAAGACTTTCCATGCGGTTCACTTGCTGATTCACTAATGGGTGGGCTGCATACCGTACTGGACGTTTGGGGCGGAATACTGGTTGAGCGTCAGGTAGCAGTTGAAAATAATCCTTGAGCACGGGTACATAGCTCGAGTCCATCTTGGAAAACGGGAAATTACTCTGTCATTTGTTTTTTATCATTGTCGGAGAAAGAGAGCGTGTTGCACATTGTGCTTATAATGGCAGATCCCATAGATTGAGACGGCCGATCCAGTCGAGGCCCAAGAGATTGAGTGGTGTATCAGAGGGATAACAGATGCCCTCCTTGTGTATGTCAGCAAATGCAGTGGTACACTCAAACTGTGCCACCAGTTTGATAGCCACCATAGGCCCTGGGTGGCTGTGCGTGTAGTTCGTGTCAGTGTAGATCGGCCGATGGAGGACCACAGTTGTCTAGAAATAACAGTAATGCCTGATGCCATATCGAACTGCAGCCGTCCCGGATATCCATTCACAGAAAGACGGATGTATTATCTAGTTGTAGTCTCGTCCAAATCGAAACGTGCGATCAAACGCAATGACTGACCCCCGGGTTTAGCAGACGTGTTGCCGGGTCTGATGTTCTGTTTGATTGATCGAGAGTTACCGTGATTCTTCCATTTCTTGATCTGGTGACCCGTTTGCTGGTTAAAATCTAGTGGACAAATCAGTGCAAATACCGTGCCCCACAATATTTACATGGCGACGGCGGTCAACGATCATTTGAAGGAGTGCGGCGGGGGTCTGTGTCTCTGTGTGAGTTTCCGGTGTGCTGACACAGCGTGCACAGCTGATGTGGACTTTTGCTGCTGGATGATTGCAACGTAGTTCACAATCGGCGAAGAATGATGGACGCCAACACATTTGATGCTCTCCGGATTGGGCTTATACTACTATGAATGGCGCAGTCATTGCGCGGGCCCTTTTTGAAGATGTGGACGACAATGGATTCCCTAATGAGAAAGGGACCTGCCCGGTGTTCCACACTTTAGAGAACAGAACTTGAAGTTCTCCAACAAGCGTCATTCCACCATCTTTAAATAGAGCAGAGGGAAGACCATCGGAGCCCGGCCCTTTGTGACGTCCCAAGGCTTGGATCTCCGTACGGATTTTAGCCTCAAAGAGTGGGTCTGTTGATACAGACCATGGGATGTGTGCCGGAATAGCTGTGTGAGGAGCTGACGCTGGTGGCTAGCTAAACTGTGCTTTTAAGTGCTCCGCCCAGCGCGTAAGACTTCGTTGTTGATTGTGAATGGACGAACTGTCAGCTTCACAAATCGTTTCGCTCACACCCAAGGCTTTCCTACGGGTGACCCGGATGAGATGGAACAGCTTCGGGGAGTTTCCCATGGCGGCAGCACGTTCCATCTCTGACGCGCGTTGAGTCCACCAGATCTCGCGGTCTCTGCGTAGGTTTGCGTTGAGGTTACGGCTCGTTGCTCGTCGTATTTCAATATGCTCGCTGCTGGTCGGGATTGATCGGCTTGCGTTGACGAGACGTAGAGACTACGCAGAAATGCAGGGTGTCGCGGCACGACGTGTCAAATCACAAGTAACTAAGCCAGCAGAATGCAGAGCATTCTTGATAGGCGACCAGTGCTGGTCAACATCATCGGGTGGGATTGGTTCTAGCTTTTCAGCTAGCGCTTTCTGAAAGACAGTTAGGGGTGGTGGTTCAGACAACTTATCACAGTCTAACCATCGATGGATCATGCGTTCGGACGCCCACCAAAGCACATGGACAGCTTGGCGTGGTCGGATTCGAGGGAAGTGCTTTAGTACGATCAGCAGTCTTGTATGCAACCCCGCCGTTTGTGGCTTATAGCGATGTGGTCAATCTGCGTCCGTCTCTGACTCGAGGGGGGCGGACGCCAAATGGCGTGCCGGCAGTTGGAACGCCTGAAGTTCGTACTGGCGAGGAATAGGCGGTGGTCGGAGCACAGAGTCAACAGCCGATCCTCGTTTTCGGAGCGACAGGAGTCTAGTCCAAAAGGACCTCCCAGATGCGCCTCACTCGAAGTCAGCCGACCTACTCCAGTATTCATCTCTCCTGATAAAATCACGATATCAGTCCAACCCGCTTTACACAATAGGTCGTGTAGATTATGGTAAAATTGATCTTTAACTGCATCTGGGCTGCAGTCCGTTGGGGCTTACATCGACACGACAAACAGGTTTCGTCTATCGAGGCGATGGCTGCTCACTTTGCACGAACCTTTAAGTCTCACTGCGCATAACCTACTGTCAACTGGGAACCAGTCCAGGATCGCGGCTTCAGCGCTCTCACTGAGGCACGTCGACGCCAGTAAGACTGGAAGCCGCAGCCTCAGGGTCCTCAGAGAGGCGTAAGTGAAACTCCACCGATGGGTTTGACGGGGACGTCAATCGGATAATGGAGCTGGAGTCTTGCCGAGACCTAGTGACATACCGTGCCTTGCTGCTGTTGGTTTTATCATGTGGTCCACTTTATAAACGGCGTACCTAACACCAAACACTACTGCACAAAGAGCTTCTCAAAGTTGTATCGCTTTGCAGCAGCCGATCTCAAATTAAACATCTTCCTTGTAGAGCATCTATCTACAAGATTAGTATTTTTCTTTGCCTTGTTCCCCATTTCGTAAATAATTCACCCATTAACAATTAATTAACGAACTGACTATCAAAGTGACATGAGATGTTCTGGAACTGTTTGTTTGTCATAAATTTGTTATCAATGTTTCACATCCGCCTTTGTTCACCCCTAAGTAATCTGTAAAACACACTGAAAGTTCATCCATTTTGGGTGCCTGGAGCCTAGTTTGATTTCAATTGACTTGATGCAATATCTACCATAGGAAAATGATGAAACACGAGATGTTCGATCCCAAAACTGCTTCTGTTATGCTTCAGTAAGATAAAACTGGACGATTGGTCAGTGGATTGGGTGAAAAATAGTAGATTGAGGCCTACCCCACCCTTCAAGGTACCTCATTTCCCTGTAGTTTCGACAGCTCAAAAAGCGCAGGGAGATGAACCGTGAGACTAGAAACCATGGCAACTGAAGTGGGAAAAGACTAATGAACAATACACACAAGAGCGGATGCACGAAAATCGACGGAATACAAAACGAAATAAGTAGAAACTGTGAATCAAATCAAACGGCAACAAAACTGACTCATCGTTTGGTTTTTCGCCCTCTTTGAAATACTGATCTTCCATAGCCTCGGCAGCAGACAAACGTCGAACCGGATCCATGGTTAAAAGACGGCGGAGCTAGAAATTCAAAGCACGAGAACGCGTTGGTGATAATAGGACACCGAAAATAATTTCAGCAGAGAGAATTCAGGAATACTAAAAACCAGATTATAACGCAAAACAAACGAACATGGCTCAATTTTATGAATTGAGCTGGTATGGGTTACAAAAGTAAAGTTCATATGTCGAGGTGGAAAGCTGTTCCAGTTTCAGTTTTTACAACCACTAACCATGCACTTTGGTGCACTCCTTTTGATTGCTGTCTTTTCGCCGCCTGTTTGGATTAGACGGAAGAATGAAGATTGGAATGTTTAGAGCAAATTCAAGGGGAAGATAGAGAATTCATATCTACTGCGGTCGTAAGAATATTGATTGGTACATGAGCGCCACCGTTTGCGACGCTCAGCCATATCACTCAGCGTCTCTAACCACTGGTGACCATGATCTCGGGATCCCCAACCAGGGAGCCTAACGGGACCTATCTGATCCATTGTCCTGGGCGGTGGTGGCCCGGTGGCAACGTCACCAAATTATCACCTCGTGGATGTGAGTTCGAATCCCACCACCACTGCCTGATTTTCCCCCATTATGTGTTGAATGGCAGCCCTTTGATTGGCCGCTTCCCCCTTCCTGAAAATTGTATCTTTGTATATTCAATAAAAGGAAGTAAACAGAAAAAGGAAAAAAAGAAAGAAAGATCAGGGTTTTCATACCATCATGCCAGATATTGGCTTGGCGAGAATGCACCTTGAAGTGGTGTGATGGCTTTCGCGTCTTCATGCTCCTGCGAGCTATACAGGATGGCTCCTCAGCCGCAGACCCAATCATGTCTGAAAGGTGAATGGGTAGAGAGCAGACGAAGCTCAGTCTCACAAGGCCAGTCGGTTGAGCAACTCCTGGCTTCCTTTGCCTATCCACGCTCGTCCCTGGAGAAGTACCTCCAGCAAATAAACACAGTCAGTCAGCTTACATGCTAATTGGTGGATGCCACATGCCTCAGTAAGTTGGATGGGTAAATTCGAATGTGAAAAAGATCAGTGCTACCGCTGTGGCCTCGTAGCTCAGCTGGTAGAGCATGCGCGTAAAAAGCGTAGGCGGTGTCCATGCGTGGGTTCGAAACCCACCGAGGCTACTGAACTTTTCACAATCGACATACAAACTTCAAATCTGCCAAACAAATATTGGAAAAATCCTCGTTCTTATCTGTTCCGTTTCTTCTTTTCACTCCCAAACCTTAGGAGATGCATCCTGTTTGCATCAACCATGGAATATCACTTAGCGTTCAACTAATAGGGTAAACCACTCACAGGCTATCAGAATTTTGAAACCAAAATCCCCCTTTCACTTAGCCGCATTTAATGTCCGCACAATCTATCAGATCGGACAACAAGCCGTCTTAACTGGAACCCTTGAAACCTTCCATTTCGATGTACGCTGTGTCTCCAAAACACGCATACAAGACCCTATTTCAATCACCACCTTGTGATCTCCAGATCCGACCTCATTCTCACGCTTCACGCTGTGTCAGACGATTCGAAAAGCTATTTGACATTGAATAGAACAGTCCATACAGTCGAATTTAAAGGACGAAACTCAGTCAAAATTTATTCTTTGGATTATTCGAAGGAAAGATTAAGCTTAAAATCCCACGTGCGGATTGCCCATCCAATTTCACAAACAACAAGCACTGCTTCGGGTGATGTCAGTGAAAACTCATGGGTTAGGCCAAACATTCTATTCTAAATTGATAAAGTTATTCGCTCAATGTGTTGCAAGTGCTGTTTCAGGGTAAGGGCTTTGAACTCCGACCCCCGAGTGTGCGATTTGAGTCCTGGTAGGGCCAAGAAAGTTGCACATTGCTGATGGGTCTTAACAGAGAAGAAACTGTCACATCTGCTCTTTGTCGGTCATTACACACAAATCTCCATCTCAAACAGGAATATAAAATCATTGGTCAACTGATGATACGGAGTGATCATTCATGGTTGCAAACAAACTACGAACATTAACTGTGAACCAAAAGAACAAGATATATTACTCCATGCTTGGAAGTGATTCGAAGAACCAAGTAATGTATGTATGATGGCCGATGAGACCGCAGATGATCGTACAAACCAATGTATATGTTCTGTCAGGTGCTGCGGCTATTAATCTTATCACTGATATGTGAGCCAACGATACGGTGGACGCGCAGAGGACGATAGAAGTGTGCATCTAGGCAGTCATGCTTGAACGCCTAGGGAAGGTTATAAGACGGCATGAAGACTGGAGCTCCGAACAAAAGCTTCGGTAGTCTAATATGACAAGAGAAGCACGACTCCACAAGTCCCCGCTAGCCTGTGCCCTTAGACGCTGAGCCAATCACTCTAACCAGACTGGAAAAGATACTGGTTATTTTTATTTTTTACCACACCCCAGTGTGATGAACAGCAGACGGAGTAGAGGCCATGGTCAAGAGAACCTGCAGTTCAGTGATGAAAACCGGCAGCCTAAGAGCCAGAACTTGGAGTGGCGAACCACATAAGGCCCCGTTAGTTTAGGCGTGGTATTGAACCTAACGACAGCAAAGCCGCCTACCACCAAATCTGGGTGGTGGTGGTGGGGTACGGACCATAGGGTTCAAAGCATACTGGTAATAGCAACTCAACCACTGCGCCACCACCACTTGAGTGGTAGACAAAATGGAGACGTCAGCAGGGGTCTGAAACTTTGGAGAGCTCCTTCGGACTATCTGTGCTATTTCAGGGGAATAAATGTATCAGATTACTGGAGGATTTGATTCAATTTCGAGAAGGGAATTCGTCGTTTATTTGCTTCATTTGCTCTATACACGAATAACTCCCCCTCTGAAATTGAATCAAATTCTCCGTTACTCTTATGTAACAAGCAGTCAGGTTGTGAAAGTGTTTAACCTAATCATAACCCCAGAGGCTAGTGCTGATATGAGAGAAGCGCGATGTCTGCAGCGAGCTCGCAAAGATGCTATATCGTGTAAATGGAAAATGAAAAACGGTCAGATCAGCTGCCCGGTGGCTGAGTGGGCAGAATGCTTGCGTTCTGACCATGACGTCCAGGGTTCAATCCTCAGTTGGGTCGATGGATTCGCACTACTGCTCAAAGCGATACTACTTTGTCACACCACTGTCGTCCAACGATCGCCGTGTTCCTCGACTTGGAAGAGGCTTCAAACTTACAGGGTGACTGCTTCATCGTAGTAAGTTGTTTAAGGCGCTTCATACTTGCAAACGTTACACGAAAATGTGGTGCTTGACATCAGGCGAAAGTATTCCATCCTGAAGGTGGAAGAAAACTATCTTCGCCGGATTTTGCTATGCAAGCAGCAGAATGGGAAACACATGGAACATCTTTTATAATGTGAATATAACTTTTTCCCGTAATATTTATTCTTTCTTTCTTTCTTTCGGAATTCTATCTCCGACGTAGTTAACGAGATCGTTCAACGCAAAAACAACCATTTGGGAAAAATCAAGAAGGGTTTTGCGTGGGCCTACATTAGGGGATATTGCTGTTCGTTATTAAGACAAGTTCGAAGTTTATTATGATTATCTGTTTACTGAACCCGCTTCGAAAAGTGGTGCGTGTATCTTAGATGAGTTAAGCGTTGGCCCCGTGTCATAATCGCGTAAGCATTTTCCATTCGGAATTTCCCACATGGCGCACCGCTCCACAACTGATTCTCATGGGGTGATTCTCTACCAACACAGGCTGCATCGGAATCGGAACCTATCCTCCTGCGCCGACCCGAAAATCACACGACCGATTGGGTTGATTTATCGATCGATCGAGTGGTTCAGCCACAACAAGGGACCTGGTGCTTGCTCAGCTAACCCGAGTGAGAAGCCACACCTTTTTTTACAGCCGAGAGTCTCAAACAGGCCCACTGAACTTCGACTGTGTGGCAGGAGTATCGTCAACACTCGGATGGACTGAACTTAACAACAAGAGCACTACAAAAAGTACAAGCCGGTAATCAAACAGTCTCGTTTAGGGTGAGAGATTTTAGGCGTCGCAGCTCGCGGAATATGATCCAATCGGATCGCGCCAGGGGTCAGAGGGAATTTACTTGCTTAAGGTCACGGGTGAGAGGGACGAGACGCACGACTACGATGAAGTCACCCGGTAGTTGACCGCGACGCTCTTATGGGTTCTCTCCCTCGAAAAGTAATGCCGCAGAAGTACTTCAACTTACTGAGGTCGCTGTACTCACATATCTCTGGTCGAGTGAGGGCGTGATAGACTTGGCTAGCGACTGCTGGCACCCCATCCGAAATGTGCATTGCACCTTCAAAGTGAAAAGTGCTGTTGCTAAACTGAGTGTCACCTAGCCCCGCTTTGAAATTAAATGGCCAGGGGTTCGTTATGGTGGATTGCTTTTCCTACCGAGGTAGTCGAGTGACCAATGAGGGGAGTGCATCAAAATAGAAAACCGACCGAATTTCCAAGGCTCGAGCAGTGTACGCAGAACTGAAACAAGTTTGGCGTAAACGCAACGTTTCACTGAAGTCCGAAGGTCGTGTTTATTGTGCTACCGTTTGTTCGATTACACTTTATGGTTCTGAGACGTTGAATTTGCCAGTAGGAGATATCCATCGACTAGAATTTTTCGATTATCCGTGTTTACGTGGGATGGAGCAAACGGATTAATAATCTGGAGGCAAACCGTCGTGTAGGTGAAAGATGATCTGAGATGCATTAGCTAGGGCATCGAAGTTAGATCAGTAGGCTTCGCTGGTTAGGACACGTATTGTGCATTCCTAGCTGTCGCCTGCCACACTGTGTCGTCAAATAAAATATACAATTGTAAACAACATGTAACGTGAAGAACATCGATCGCCCAAGTTTATGTACACAAATTCTGAAGTAATTCACTTACGACTTGTTCCTTATTGGTTAAGTGTCGGGTCAGGTATAGGTGAATTCTTATAAATGGTAATACAAGAGAGTAAATATGCCGAAAGGTGCGTGTTGACGGATGGGAATGACAAAAGGACAGATCAGGTGCACAGGGTGCAATGGATAATCAGTAGGTGGACTCATCTGTACGACAATCAACCCCCTGACGAAAATCACTATTAGATGCAGGCTACTCGTAAGTAACATGCATGCGCTGATATATAAAAGGCTGAGAATTATACGCATCATAAGTATGGAAACCATTAGTTGACTTATAGACCTCATAAAAACGTTCCGATATCTATTCCAATGAAAGAGAGCTATGTATAGAACTAATATCGACACTGAAGCTTATCATTATGTTCCCACATGATTCCTGTCAAGATAACAGAGATCTGTAAAAGGATAAAGGCTATTAACTCGACCAGAAGAGGTAAATAGATTTCGATTACTCCTAAAAGGTACTTCATTGAAGCGGTGTCATTTTCTTACGTCGGGATAGATCTGTCGAGTGCACTACCATCCTGTACCATATTCACTGGATTTCCACATGCGCAATTACGGCTTTTAAGAAAGACCTTTCCATCCTAAAAGCATTCCACGCGCGTACAGTTTCCAGATATTAAGGACCCTATGTAGGCCGGTTTATGTAAAACATACAAACAGTGAAAATTTGAACGAATTCGTCGCGACTTTTAAACCATGCATACATTCAAATTACTCCAATATTTAAAGTATTTTACATGGTGAGAACTTTACGAAAGAATAATCATAATCTAACTTAAAATAAAAGGTGAATGTCATCCAGGTTCGCCCACTAGATGAATTCTCCAACACAATAAAATTGTATTGTAATCCAGTTGACCTGAGGGGAAAATGTAACCATACAGCGCATGCGAATGTCAAACGACAAACAATTTAGCGAGCAGGTTTGTTTTCGTAACTTCATATTCAGGTATTCACAGCTGGATACTTATATAAACGTAGAAATTAACGTGATTGGCTGAACAAGTTAAATAGGTAAGAAAAACGATGTCTGTCAAATTCTATAGTGATACATAGAGAAAGCGAGAGGAACCGAGGTCAACAATGGGAATTTCCCATAACCTTTTCCACGTGCCACGTTGCGTCATCACGACAGATAAAGAACGACGCAGAAGCAGTGTCAATCATGAACCGCCACAATGCAAACAGAAGAAAATGGTTGGTGCACTTCAGTCGCCTTGGCCACGCCCCAACCCGAACCATAACATGACCTCAATCACCTCATGACGACACAACATAGAGTAACATATCGCACGTGAAAAAGGTCATCGGGAATTTCCAGAATTGACCTTGGCTGCCTCTCCCACAGAACTTCTTTTTCATTCCTATGTAACTTGTTGCACCAATCACGTTAATTTATACCTTATATGTAAACACAACTGTGAATACCCGAAGAAGAAGTTACGAAAACAAGCTTGTTCGCTATACTGTCTGTTATTTGATACAGCGTACAGTTGATTACCGAATAGAACCCGGTCAAACGGAGAGCATTAACCTAATCATTCCCGGGATTTCGACAAACAATGAATGAATGAAACGAAAATAAAATCCATGGGGACAGAGGGAGCATAAAAAACAACCGCTCGAATTTAGATGCTTACTCACCAACGCCAATTCTCGCTCATCCACCTTGAATTTCTTCTCATCCAGATAGGCTTCCAGAGAAAATTTACCGTATGTTTTCTTATTGATGGAATCACGCATCAATTGAGGATATTCAGGCATCCGCTTCATATCGATCCACGCGTCGTCTATGAGGAAATGTCGAGAATAGTTACAATTAACTAAGAAACACAGCACACCTATAATGCATAGATATAGAAACCCTGGACGAAATGTACAGAATTATGTGAAGGAGCAAGCTATAACACCTGACAGAAATTGCAAATACACAGAAATGTGTACTACTCGTCACAATGGAAAGTTAGAAAGTTAACACTTGGGAACCTCCGAAAGCCTCATTGTGGTCGGGGGTGTGTCTAGGGTTGCGGCGGGCTACCATTCCCTTGCATCTCAATAAATGCTCCTGTACGACCAGGCGTCTCAAATAGCCTCTGCTGAGGAAGCCCCAATCACTGCCTTCTCGTGGCGAAGGTATTTTCCCACCAAAGTGAAACGACAAAAAGTTGACATCCGGGGCTGTAACCGGGTTGGTGAACCACTGGTAGTTCACCTAGGGGAGTTGGCCAAAAACCCTGATTCCAAACTAACCAAGAGGAGGCGTATGAACCATACCCACACCTTTCCGGTTGTGGCAATGGTCACCGGCTCGATTGGACATTGAGGTGTACTGGGCACTTTGGACGTTTGACTCCGTCCGAAAGGCGTAAGATCCGATGAACTGGATACCGACTCCCAATGGATTGTGGTTTTCACACACCGCCCCGCTGCCTTGCGGGTCAGGCTTTGGCTAGACGAAGGCTCCGGTTGTGGATTCCTCAAGAAAATTCACCTGCCCTGGCCTGGGCAACCTGGCAGTATTCCGCCCACACGCAAATCATGGAACGTTTTTCTTTTTATAAAGATTATTGTACCATCATTTGTTTGGCACACAGTCTGGCGCCAGACGTGTGTGAAATATATAATATATATAACACTTGGGAACAACGTGAGTGCCGATTAATCATGCAATTTTCAAAATCTCCGACTGCGGGGTCACATTTTAAAGCTTGGCAACACGTGCCGCTAAGGTTTAACCAAGAGTATTTACATCTCACTGAAGCTTTGGGTTAAGGGAGCTTTCTTTGTTCTGCCTTTTAGACCGGTTGCAGGAATTTCCCGCGGTTCTGTGGATTTTCGTTATTCCCTGGAACCCCGTGTCGTCTCGCACCCCGGCCGTTTCAGAAGCGGGCGTTGTCGTCCTCCTTTGTGTGCAGACTCAGCTGAACTGCGTGAGCCGAAATGACCTTCACATTGAAGCAGCTTCCATCAGACTCCGGTGTACGACAGAAAAAATACCGACTGCCCGATAATCACTACTCACCTGGTGGATAACCCATAACACGGAATATACGTTCCAACTGTTCCTTGTGATACGGTGTGCTAGTTTTGATATCCTCTTGACGACAGTGGAAAATTGGCTCGTAAGTGAGTAGTTCGGCAAATATGCAACCGATAGCCCAAATATCGATGGCCTTTGTATAGTGTCTGGCTCCGAGTAGCAGTTCTGGTGCACGATACCAAAATGTCACTACGACTGGATCGAGATCGGCCAGCGGTTTCAGGGGTTGATAGAACAGACGAGCAAAACCCAGATCGGCAATTTTCACACGACCACGTTCGGGGCCTTCACCCATGACTAAAATATTGGCCGGTTTCTGTTGATAAGAAAGTAAGCGAGAGAATAAAGAGAAAAACGAAATGACCGAGAGACGAAGCGAATTTGTAGATAGAAAACATCTATTAGAATAAGCCGGTAAAATCCCGTCAATCAATCGCGCTATTCATGTGAATTTCCCACCATACACCTAACACGGAGGCTGTTTTAAAGAAATTCCGTCATAATATCCGCGTCTACAGCTCAAGCTACTTCGAGACAAACCAAATAAGAAGAATAATTAAGACGATAGTTTTGCGTCTAAGCCTCTGAAAACCTCAGCATGTTCGGGGGTGGGTGTCGTGGGTTTTGGCTGGTTACCCTTATCCCTTCAAGCAATTTTTTTACACGATCGAGCATCTCACGCAGCCTCTGATGAGGAATTCCCACTCACTGCNAGCCCCAATCACTGCCTTCTCGTGGCGAAGGTATTTTCCCACCAAAGTGAGACGACAAAAAGCCGAAGTCTGGGACTATAACCGGGTCGGTGAACCACTGGCAGTTCACCTAGGGGAGATGGCTAAAACCCGTTTCCAAACTTACTTTACTTTTACTTTTGATTGACTAACTCCTGCGGGAGCATAAGTCGGCTTCCTGGATGTATCTAATGATGGCGGACCATGTACGACGATCGGTAGCAAGGTTGACGCAGTGCGAAACTCAGTTCTCGTTCCAGTTGCGAATTCCATATACGGATTGAAGACCCAGTAATTCCAAATCCGTCTTGATCGTACCACTCCAGGTCTTTAGTTGACCACCGAATCGGCAACGCCATCCACAGCACGATGCGGGGGCTACAGGCTGTCGCGAGAGTTGAGTGTCGGGCCTTCTGAGCACATGGCCAAACCACTGAAGGCGCCAGCATTTTTGAGAGCTTGTCGATGTTTAAGCAGCGCCGTCGAACCTCATCATTGGAAATCTGATCTCTCCAATTTACTTTCAAGATGCGGCGTAAGCACCAATGATCAAAGACTTCGAGCTCCCTTATATCTTGTACTTTTAGCGGCCATGTTTGGGGTGGATGGAAGCCTGATAAAGCCGAAGCTTAGTGGTTAAGCTTATTTCGCATCGATTCCACAACGGTTTGAGGAGTTGTAGGAAAGCTCTTCCAGCTCCGTCTACACGGAGTTGAATTTCATTCCTAGCCTGGGAGTTTGGTCTTATCGTAGAGCCAAGATACTTGAAAACTTCGGTTGATTCGACACGGCTTCCGTTAATCGAGAGGGTTTGTGTCATGGTAGAAGTTTCGGTCGAAAATGTCTTCGGCGAAACCCCCCTTGGTTTGGGCGAGTGTGGGTATCTCTGACGACTGCGAAGCGATTAAGCAGTATCGCTGCAAACAATTTAGCCGCAATATCAATCAGGCTAATACCCCTGTAATTTTCGCATCTAGATTTATCACCCTTTTTGGGACCGGGACTAAAATTGAAGCCGTCCAGTCTTTTGGAAAAACTTCTCTTTCCCAAATGGTATGGAAAAGAAAGTGCAGCGGATCGATCCGAGTTGGTAAGCAAGCTTTAAATAACTCTGGTGGTATCCCGTCTCCTCCAGGGGCCTTCCTGTTTTTAAGAGAAGTGACTGCATTGATAATTTCTGTTATGCTAGATGGGTCACAATTGATGTCGTAAGTCTCCGAACTGCTTGACATCTGTAGAGAACCAGCTGGGTTGAATGGTCGGTTGAGCAGCCCATCGAAGTGTTTAACCCACCTTTGCGTGTTTTGCTCGGTTTCCTGAATATGTTGGCCTGTGGTGCTGCGAACCAGTGGTTCCGATGTCTGCCTCTTTCCTGCTGCGACACGAATTAGACGGAATAGCTTTCCAAAGTCCGCTGGGACGGTTGCAGCCTCCGTGCTGTCGCCTTCTAATATTGTTCACGGTCACTCTTGTCGGAGCGTGTGCCTTGGCGACGGAGAAAACGAATTTCAGGAGAATTGATCAATCCCGCATCTCTTGTCTTTACGGACAACTGCAGTGTACACTGGGAGATCCAATCTCTCTTGTGGCGAAGAATCTCACCTAACTACCCCAGCGATGATTCTCTGATGGACGTTTTCAATGTAGAACACTGTGTGTCGACAGTTGAGTCATCAACGAAAGTTTCAGCTATGTTGGAAGCGGTTGCGTCCAGCAGCGCCTGCCTTCTCTCATTTGTCCCAAGAGCGCGACGTGGAATTGGCCCGGGAGACGAGTCTTGCGGCGAGTGATCAGGTGGATCTTGAAGCGGGTGCATACAAGGGTATGGTCTGAACCGTTCCTGTCTCCAGTTTCTGCGTCGCGATAGGAACGGCAGTCTTCTACCGAAGAGGCCCAGCGAGCACGTACCAAAATATAATCGATCTGGTGTGCCGTTCGACCATCATTTGAGTATCACGTGAGCAGGTGTTTTTCTGGGGTGCTGAAAACGAGTATTGGCCACGACCAGCCGGTTAAGGTCAGCAAATGTGACTAGGCGTTCGCCATTTACGCAACGTTGACCAAAGCCGAACTGTCCCAGAACATGTCGAGTATGTTCGTCTGATGGGCCAGTGTGTGCAATCCAGTCTCCTGCGATAACGACAATGTCGCATCTCGGACCGCGGTTCACTGCGTCTTGAACTTGGTTGTAGAAGACGTCTCTGATGGGCTCTTCCGCATATAACGTCGGAGCATATACAGCGATGACAGTCAGGTTAGCCGGCTTTCCCCTGAAGCGCGCCATGGCAATCCTGGGAGAGATTGGTTTGCAGGAGATCATGGCATTGTTGGTCCGGCCACTCACGGTGATTGCTACCCCGTGCAAACCGGAGTTGTCAGTTGGACCGCTGTGGTATAACCGGTAGGTTGCGTTGTGATGTGATACGTTGATTAGTTTTGTGCCACAGTTGGGTAGTCGGACTTCGGACAGACAAGAGATGTCTACCTAGTAGTTGTGCAGTGATCGCATCGTAATACACTGGCTTCCTGTGTCTAGCAATGTTCTAACATTCCAGCAGGCTAAATGGATGCTGGATCTGGTGCATAGATGATTTAGGTTCCCAGCTTGCTCGTTTGTCATCCAAGCCACTGGGAGAGCGCACGGCGCGTCGCTTCCCGGGAACGCCGTAGCATGAACGGGATGTACCATTGTAAGACGATCCATGAAGAAACCTGGGAATGAGGTACTAAGTGACGTCCCAGCGTCGCTCGGCTTTTGTTCGAAGGTGCACCTCTAACCCTTGCACAACCAAGTGCGACCTGCAGGATAACAGGGTAGAATTAGTAGCCGGTGACCGTTAGAATGGTTCATACTCCTTTCGGATGGCAATGCACCATTCCAGGATTCCCAACGTGCCCGTGAGGTAGCATTCCTTAGAGTCCGTCCTACTCGTAAGAGTAGGCCAGTAGCAATGGCCTGATTTGGTGGCGGGCCACATTCGCACACGTCGCGATGCTGTCAGCAGACACTTATGGCATTTGGGCGGGATATTGGTTGCCAGCCGGAAACCCCACCACGTTCTCTAGCACCACCGCTGATCGTCCGCGACTGATTATTCAGTGAGGCAGCCCCATCTATTCACGGTTAACCACCAAGGTAGCCGTTCTCCTATCCGCGACCTGGAGACGCGCTCGATAGCAATCAGTTATGCTATCCGTAGACAATTCATTGCCTACGGGTCAACCAGGAAGAGGCGTACGAACCACAAACCCCTTTCTGGTCTTAACACGGGTCACCGGCTCGATAAGGCATCAAGGTATATTGGGCACCTTAGACGTTTGATTCCGTCCGAATGGCGTATGATTCGGTGAACCGGACACCCGCCCCAAATGGATTTCGGACTCTGAATTTCGTCCTGCTATCTTGCAGGTCAGGCTTTCTAGCCAAAGGCTTCGAATGGGGACCCCGAGGTTATCCCCCTTCTTCGGTTAGGGCAACCGGGAAGTAACATGCCTACACAACCTATGAACATCTTATATATTTCCGGATTTTTCGCTCTCACGAACGATGCGCTCATTGACCGAGGTGTTGGCGGTTGGCTTCACAGATTTCCACATTACCACACTAACAGATCACACTCTTTCCCTTCCGAGATTATTAAACTTTCTTATTCTCGACATACCGCCTATTAATCCAAGTCTCTAACAGTGTTACTCAAGGCAACGGT